CTCAATGTGACATGAACTGATGTGGTTCTTAGTGTAAACTTCACCAAAGCTGGTAAATTCCCTGAGAGATTTATACCTAAAGACTGCTAAGTGCTGCTTGTATGTTCCAGTTGCCTTCCAGAAGGGCCCTCAGTAGTGCTGACCCTGTCATTGAAATTGTTGTGAGCATAATAAACGCATTAATAAAGGTAAAATAAATATTTTAGGTAACAGGAACATGCTTCTGTCACCTGGGTAGGTGGCGAGCAGGAGATAATTTTTCTGGGTCAAGTCTGATGATCCTATGCTTGTTCCAGAGACACTGTGTGTGGAGGGCCTCTTAGTATTTTGTCACAAAGGATCAATGTGCAGTGGTTAGCATCCGCAAGCAGATTCAGGGTGGTGATGGTGGGATAATCTGGCATGTTTTTTTTTTTCTCTGGTGTTTCGTGGCAATATATTTGCACTATTCTTCCTTTGTGGCTTTCACATGCTAACAATTTGTGGGCGACAGTTTTAATCTTCAGCAAGAAGCTGCAGGTTTTAAACACAGAAGCATCTCTTCCTCTGAATCACTTTGTAAGGAAATGAATAGCAGTAATGGTTCCCATGTTTCAGTGGCATGCCACTTAAAATTTCGAATAGCTAACACCTTTTCCAAAATTAACCGCAACTGGGATCAAGGTGCACACCAATATATAAATAATATAGCAACAGTCTATGAGCAATCACGGGTGTGGCTTCTATATATGATTCAGAAAAAATAATGAGCTGTGTGGATGAAAATAGGTATTTGGGCGGCGATTATGCAAGGCCTGAATTACAACGCAGGATGGGTGGGGGTAACACCTCTTTCAGCTTACAAATGCTAATCACAAGCTCAGCAGACAGAAATCTCTGCAGTGCTATTTAACAAATATTAATAAGTATAATTAAACTTTGTGTGCTAGATTTTCAGTGCCAAGGAGCTATGCGAAACAGAAAATTTGCTATATGTTTTCAGTTTAAAATTAATATAACCTGCTTTGGAAAGCAAGTTATCAAGAAAATAAAAGGTTAGGCTACTTTAAAAAATAAAAAAAAAATTAAAAGTTTACTCCGAGAACATTCAACATACACACAGAAAAAAATCAATAGGTTACCTAGCTGCAGAGACCCTACAGGCAGATAAAATGATGCATCTTGTTACCTCCATCTCAAATTTCCTTCTTGACAGTAATCTAGAGAGTATATATTTAACATACAGCTTGTAATACTATTAAAAGTGTTTATAAGGGCCACGGTCTATAATCATGAGTTTGAAGGGTGGGAATTCCACTGTGACTGATCTGGTCATCATCTTAACCCTGAATTCCTGACAAGATGCGGTTTGAACACCATCAGCAACTACTCCCTACTGTAATAACTGGCCTTGCAAAATTAGTCTTTGTCCTGGACTGGATGGATGCTTTCCTTTATCATGTCAAACCTACCACTTCACTCAGACTGTTTAAAAACAAAACCAAGGCTGCAGCAGAAGGAAATGCAATCTCAGTGAGAGCTCTTCTGCAGTTTCAGTGCAGTAACAATTGTGCCTATTTCAGGCTGGGAGTGAATGGAAAACTAATAATGACAGCAACAACAACGATCAGTAATTTTAAATGACTGCAGAATTTAATTATGTTGTCAATCAGCATGCTTCCAAATCAGGTTTATTTGCTGTTTTGATTTATGATGTAAGAGAAATTGACAATTGAGAGGTTTATAAATGACCTCCCACTACAGCTGTGTGTTATTTCCTGGCAGTATCTGTTTAAGAGCAAGTTAAGGTGATAGAGAAGTCAAACTAATGGTTTTCTCAAGTTACCAGGTACTAACACAGCCCCTTCCTTTCAGGAAAGGGTATATTGAGGCAAACATCCTGTCCTTTAGTTACCAGCTAGACTTGGCTCCTCTGGGTTGATTACTAGTCTGAAACTCACCAAGTGAGGGGTGTTTTGCCAACATCAGAGCAGCCAAGCCACACTAGGCAACAGTGACCCTTACAAAGCATTGATATGACTGATGCTTCTTGCTGCCATTGATTACTTAGAGGTTACCCCACACCACCAACCCTTCTTCCCCCTTTCTCACCAACTTTGCTGCCAGCCATGTCTGCTCAATGATCATGGGCTCATCGTAGGACTGCTCTGGATCCAGCCATCTGTTGTTTGTTGCGGTACAACTCCTTTTGCCCCAGCACAGCTGCCTCCTGGGTCCCATGGGTCCTCACTATCATGGCTGGGTGATCACAGTAGGACTACTGAGGCAAGAAAGAGACTGCTGGGAGGGTGTAAGCAGTATGTGTAGCCCACTTCTTGAATCAGGAGGCTGTGGGAAGCATTGCCTTTCCTTCGATGCACATCTTTCTTCCTTGACTCTTCAGACTTCAGTGTATGAAGTCATAACTGCTTTGAAGTGTGATTATTCCAGTCAAATCTATCTGGCAAGGGGCTTTCTCCTCAGAGGCAAGCTGTCAGGCCTTGCACAGGTGAGCCCAAGCTCTAAATATTCAAACATGTAATCAGGCCATTGCAAAAGCATGTTGTGTCCTGACAAGTCTTATCATGTGCTAGGGAATGAGCGGAGAAGTATCTTCCAGCCAGAACTTGCAAAGCTTCTCCCATAGCTCTACAGCCTTAATTACTCACTTGGAAAACGGAATACAATTTTTGGATCGTGCAAACTTTGTCCCCCAAAGCACAGGAATCTGGTGTCTAAGAATATACAAGCAATGCTTCCACCTGCCTTTGTCAGTGATCCCCTTACCATCACTAAGAGAAAACTGAGCTGTGGACCAAGTCCTTAGTGAAATCTTTTTAATTTTGGATTCTTAAAGGGAAAATGGCCAAGTTAATTAATTTATATGCATGTCTTACAGTATTTACTTTCCTCACACTGAAGAGGCACGTGAGCTCTGTAACCTGCTTGAATGCCTTGCTCATAGCTAAGCAGTTCCAGTCACTATTTTCAATTCGGGTTCAGTCTGTTCTATTTCAGTTACAGTTGCCCTAAGCTTACGTTCATCATTACACTTCTGGAATGAGATTTAACACTGTGCTGTTATTCTGTTGACACACAGTAGGAAAGATAGCATCATTACAGAGTAATTTTTATTTTTTAATACTCGGGACTGAGTAGACTATCAATACTTTCAGGAATGGAGTATGCAATTGTCTTTTTTTTTTTTTTCCCCTCTAGGAGGAGAAAACTATAATGGAGGTTAGGTTAAAAGTCTTACGCATTTCTGGAATTTCAGAAAAAGGTTATGTAAGACCATTCAAAAGCACAAGTTTTATAAGGTTTTTAAGCTTTTCAGCACTATGAGAATAGTTTATACTGAGAAGTAGATCTTATTCTGAGGAAGTGAAAAAAGTCTTGCTGCCACATTAGTAGAAAAGGTCTTAGCCCAATGACTAGGGAACTTCTACTGCTGACAAAAGTGAAAATAAGTGCTGGGGTACAGGACTGGGGAAATTGTAACAAATACCCCATTTTATACCAAAGACGTGTTCGGCTTTAGTCACTTTAGAAGTCTCTTTGGCTTGCCTTGTGCAAATACTAAGCAATAACATCAGGCTGGTGTGAAATGCAATGAGTTAGGACAGAAAGCTTATCCCATCACTGTATTCACAAAGCAAAGGGTGACTGAGACCTGGCAGCAAGTGTTGATGGCTCAGACTCGGTTTTACTTCATCCAAATGCAGTCCCTTATGCATCTAGTAACACAGAATGCCTGAGCTAGCCTCCCTGTCAAGAGGGGTTCATTTTTCAGTGTTACACACTAGCCATGTAGCTTTTCCCCAAATGCTTTAAGCCAAAACAATCTCACTGAAGGCTGGGAAGATGCTTAATACAGAGTATCTGGATGGGGAAGCTTTTTTCTTTTTCCCACTGAAGAGTGGCTTTCCTCCTAATTTGAGAGTAAATGCTGTTAAGGGCAGAACTGAGATGAGGTCTTTGGGAATTCAAGCACTTTCAGGTAAGGGGAGCAGTGCATACAATGAACCTAGGCTAAAACCAGGGGTGCCAAGTATCAGGAATGGAGTGGGACCCAGAGGCAAAAACTAGAAGAGATTTGCAGGGCAGTTGCTTGGTTTTAGACTGTGTTCTACTGAAATGACAACTACCAAGTCTGTATGAAGTCTCACTATTGACAAGGAACGAGCTGCGTCTTGGCAGTGTTGATCTGTTTGCTGCAGCAGTGATTGTGTAACTGAGAAGGTATGTTCTTTCAGGGTCCTAGGGTTAAAGCTGCTCAGATAAAAGGGGAAGGTGGCAAGTACCAATTTGACTTCTTCCATCTTAAAAAAATCTAGGGAGTGGAGGGGAAGCAGAGCTTTCAGTAGAATGAATATTATAGTCAACAGTCTTGCACAGGATTAGATAACTTGTTTATATTTTGGAGGCCAATCTGCATGGGTTCTTACCAGTGTTATGGCACAGGAGTAGGTTTTTTAAGCACCTACATAAATGAAGTTTAGTAATCTCCCCAACTATAAAAGCCAAGTAATTAAGCATTACTGAAAAACTACATCTGAGATGTTTTCCATAGAGTATAATTCCAAGGATGGTAACTTGCCTTATCCCAAAATAAGCTCATTCACTGAAAATGTGAAGACTTCAGACTGCCAGATCAAGGTAAGTATTTATCTGCATACACGACTAAAAGAACAAAGTTATGTGATGCTTCATATCTTCAGTAACCTTACCCATAGCTCACATACTACAGTTAAATATACTTTCTTCGTGATGAGTATTTGCAATTTCTTTCTCCTCTTGAGAAGGAAAAAAAAATTACCATGCTATGCTCCACCTTTTTTTATCCTCAAAATATGAGTTGCCCTTTTCAGTCACCCTTAACGTTCAATTTAGTTCTTTTTTAACAGGTGAGAAATTGAAGCAGAAACACTGCTGCCCTCTCTTTTTTGTATGACGGTGCTTAGCATGCTATGGGTGACTCTAAAGTAACAAAGGTTATTAATAATGATAGGCCAAATAACTTAATCTTACAGGATGTTTTATTGCCAGCACAAAACTAAAGACACCATGCTATCAGGTAGTAAGGAGAAATTGAAATTAAGGCTGTGCAATTTAAGTTACTGAATACTTCTGCAGAAATCTTGATTTTAATTAAATGCAAGCTGAATTCAACATTTGCTGCATACTTAACATTATTCACCTTGAACTTTCCAGTAAATGCAGAAATGCACAATTGAAAACACTATTCAATAAAGCAAAAACCAAAATGTATCATAAATAAGTATTTCATAACTTTATTAAACTCAAGACATGACAATATTCAAAATAAAAAGTGAATTATTTTTTATTCAATACTGTACACGATGCAGAAATATCAGTGCATTTCTATAGCATGTATTTCACCTTCATTTAGTTTGTACTAAAACAAATAAAAAGTAAGCTTTAAAATAGCTCAAACATCTCATTCAGCAGTTTAAACTGTAAACAGCTTGTTTATTTCTGTTAGGAGGAACATACTCATCTTCTGTACCTCCGTTAACGAGCACCCTTTCTCTTGTGCTTATCTGTAAGAGGATAAATGTAATCAAAATGAGCATGAGAAACTGCTAATGCACAAGTGTGGCACCTCAGTGAACTTTAGTGGATTGCAGAGGCACTATGAGGAAAAATTAAACAGCAAGAAGCAGCATCTGAAGCAGCAAGAGATGGGACTGACACTGTTCATAAATGGAATTGTGTTTTTTCCTCATACCCTCCTCCTCTCTTAAAATACTGAACAGAAACCAAAACACAAGACCAGCTTGTGCTGTGTTTCTGTATTTAATACAGTCAGAATTTCAGATGCTAAGTGAGCACATAGTTGTTACTGCCTACCTAATAGCAATTGTATAGCTGCTCATATCCTCTGCTGCTTTCAAGACACTTTCATGTGTTTCTCGGACCCAGCAGGAAAAGAGCAGCAGCAGAGGCTTAGCAATAGCTGGTCCAAGTCTCTCCGAGGAAAAACTGCAAAACAGAGCCAAGTGTGTCTAGCAACTGAAAGAAATCACAAAACCTAACTCACTTTAAAAGTCTATTAGTGTCAAATTAAGTTGTAAAATAGATTAATCATCCGAAACGCACTTCCAATATGCTTGGCAAGTCTTGATGTGGATATCAGATCCTGCAGTTACCTTATTAGCAGGTTGGTATAGCCTAGTTAAAGAGGATAGAGTCTGTTCTCAACATATTTACTGTGTGAAAGAAACTTTGGAAATGCCTGATGTAAAAACTGTACTGTATCATCTGCTCTGTCAGCTTTAGAAGTGACTCGTAAGCAAAGCTAGATTTATTTTCTTTTTTTTGATAAAGTGACTACCAAATACGTTCATCTAGGTAGCATATAACTGGCCGACTGTGACTACTGTCCCTCTGTATGTTTCCATGGAACCTGTGTAGGTTTTCAGCTATACATACAGAGACAAAAAACAGTCTTAAGAAACATATCAGAGATATGCAGCATAAGAGGACTTTACCATCCACTTTCCAGTTCTCAGAGGACAAACTGGTCCTACTTCATTATCTGAGAACCTTAAGAACCTTGTAGCATGATAAATCTCAGCTCCATCCTGAACAACTGAACTGAGACTGTGGTCCCACAGACTACGGAGAAACCACATAAGACAGGTGTTTTCGTTTCAGATGACCAGCTATATCCACTCTAGGTTTTGTGTCCAGTTTTGCTGGGGCTGAAGTGGCTGTGCAGTCACCAGACCAGGACTGAACCTCTGTGTTAGAGCTACTTTCTTCTGCTTCTCTGAAGAATTTCTCATACTTATCCAAATATGGAGGCCTTTCAGGCAGCAGATAGTAGTGCGTTGAACTGGCTTTCTTACCATTTTCAATAATTGGAAGAATGCAAGGGACCCTGTTGGAAGATCCTTCACTATTTTGTCTTTGTAGAGCTTTGCTGCTGACATACTTAGGATCAGGTGCAAAACTCTGGGTGGGAGGCATAACCCCATTGAGGTACGATGGCAGGCTTTTGGGACTTGGTGTACGGGAATTGCTGCGTGACAAAGGTTCTCTTGGGGGCACTTTTGGAGGCCTGTCTTCATCACTGTATGCACTAGAAGCAACTTCTGCTGACCACCTTCTGTAATCCGGTTTGAGAGCCCTTGGGGGTATGGGAACCCTTGGTGGAATCTCTGGTTTATCTTCATCAGAGTTTGGAGAAGACCTGTTTAAGTGTCCAGATAGTCTTACTATTGGTTTATTAAGAGATCCAGCTGGCCCAGAATGGGACCTTCGCAAGCGTCGATGCAGCTGCTGTGGAGGAGGATAAATACTGGATATGTATCCACTTAGGCTTTGTGTAGGGTTGGCATCTTCTGGTTTTGGTCCTGTTGGAGTATCAAAGTATGCATAGTTGATTCGTCCACAGCCCCTAAAGCTCCGCCGGCTTGGAGCACTGGATTTAAAAGGAGGAAGTTCATAATCCTCCAACAAGAAGTCAGTATCTGAACCAGTCAGGAATTCCACCTCTCTGTCAACCTCATCTGGAGTAAGGTCTTCAGAAATAGGCAGAGGGGGTAGTGGCCTGGAGCTACGGTCATTGGAAGATGCAGACAGAAATTGAATTTGCCCACTTTTTATTGGCATGTGAGGAGGTGTTTCATCAGAAACACAGTCCATGGTTAGTGACAGTTTACTAAAGCCAGGAACAAGATGGTCTTCATATCTTGATATCAGCTGTTCATTTTTGGGACTTACAGGTGAACTGGATTTCTGAGATGGGACTTGGATGCAACTTTCAGCAAAGCTGTGGTCATTCGTAGAAGCATGGCTGGAAGAATGCCCTGAAAAGATGAGAAAGTCTTAGAAATGCTTTTCTGAGTAACAGTCTAGTGCATGACTTTGTCACTGCATATTTAACTATTTAATTCCTTCTAATGCAACAATAAGTAATGTCTGCTTAATGACTCCAGTAGCAAAATGTAGCTGTTTATAGCTCTTTTTTGGTTGTGGATTTATGTGTTTAGTTAAGAGAGCAGCTGATTACCTTGTTTGTTTAGGCCAGTGCTCCAGTTAAATGAGGTAGCTCAAGAGACTTCAAGCATAAGCAACAGCGCAGAGCTATAGCTATGAAGATTCCAGCAAAGGATTATGACAGAACAAGTGCTATTTTACTAAATGGCTTTTCTGTCAGAAGTGTAATGGCAACTTGGAGGCCTCCAAGTACAAGGAAAAGGGTTTTTGTTTAACTTGATCATGTTTAGTTTTTTGTTGCTGTTGGGCTTGAATAGTAGTATTTTCTTGAAATGTTTCCATTCTGTCACCAGAGGGCAGCCTTATATCCAGAATGAGAAAGAATTTACTGTCTTGGTGAAGACTTTTTTTTTTTTTTTCCAAGACAAATCCATTACACTACCTAAATATAAGTGGGTTAGTCTTTATACTTACCAATGGATGGTAAATGTTGCTCTGTTGAGGGATTCAAATTATATGCCATTGCTATAGGGTCCACATTAAAGAAAGTACTAAAAAAAAAAAAAAAGCCTTCGCTGTAAATAAACCATAGGCTGGTACTGGTACAAGTATTCTTAATGCTCATCTCATATAGTTCAAGATGCAATAGATTAAATTCTAGCCTTACTCACTTTTCAAATCCAGTGTGGCTACCCCAGCAGGTTTTCAGACTCCCCATGCCTTGACCAGTGTGAAGAAATCCAGTTTTTAATGGGACTCTCATCTCCTGAGCAGCAACTCCTGCAGTTGACATTCTATACTGCTCTCAGGTTATGTCTTATGGCCCTAGAAATCCAGTCCTCAACAGGTTTCCTGCAGTTTTCATTCCCTTTGAAAGAAAGGATATAAATATCAGAAATGCAAACCTGAAGAGTTCATCTCATCTGAAATGTCAGTATTTCAAGGAATTAAATAGCTCTGTAGAAAGGCCTTCTGTCCTAATACTTGCCATGAGGAAAACTTTACCAAACTTGTTACTTTGTCTGACTGCAAAACTAAAGTACAAAATAGGTAAGTTCTCTTACAGAATTAAACTGGAGAGAAAAAAAAGAAAAATATGCTTAGTAAAGTTATTGATATATGGCACCTGTGCATCAACAACTTCAGTTCTTGTACATAAACTGCTAATTATTCAGGCAAAGGAAGTTTTCCAGAACAATCTCTTTAACTATCTAGTAGACATGTATCTTTAGGTGTATCTTTTTGCTAATGAGTATATGGTTTCCAGTATAGACAACATATAACAGCCTATTCTGGTTTTAAGTATTACCTTCAATAGCCTAACAAATGGCCTTTGCGCCAATAAACAGAAGACTACTTAAATCAGAATTCAAAAACTTCTTTTATATAAAGAAGTCTATTATTAACAAACTTAAGCATTAAGGTACTTTAGAGCAGTCTAAAACTTTTGGCTATTTCAAACAAATGGGAAATCTAGTGATTTGAAATAATCTCATCTTACTCTCCTGCTGTATTCAGATTTATTTTGAATGCATGAACAATGCTTTATCTGGCACATTTACAACTGAAAAAATGTGTTGGCGATTGCTTTTGAATAAGTGATCATAGTCTAAGGAACAAGCTGAGTCACAGGGTTTTGTTTAGGAAAATCAGAATGGATTATGGAGGGGGAGGGAGGGAAGAGAAGAGACACAGGGTGTAAAAGTAGGCAACATTCTGAAGGCAGGAGAAATAAAGTCCAAGATTATAAACAGAGAAATTCTCTGGGTCTGTGCTTCATCTACACAAACATCCTAAATTCAGGAAGTACTACATGATGTTATATGGCTGTTAAACAAAAAACATAACAAAAACCACCAAAACCCCCCACCCAAACCAGATAATTTTGTGTCACCTTTGAGAATCAATAACACGACCAGTTTCTTAACATGACCTTCCTTCCCCCTCCCCTGAAAGAAAAAATTCCATCTAAAGAAAAGTCAACCAACAGCTGAGGGCCAGCTACATCAGTGCAGTATACACGTCAAGAAAACCCCCTTCACAGTATTGGTACTGCAAGAAAATGAGATAGAGAAACAAGGCATAGCTTATACTTATGGTAAATCTGTTCAAAAATGAGCATGTGTAATCTTCCTTTTCCTTTAAGAAAAAAAATCCATTATACTTATTTGCAACATGGGGGATAGGCAGACTCCTAAACAGGGCTGTAATCCAGGTGCCCCGGGATTAATTTGCAATCTAATACCATTTGCCTTTTATAAGCAATCGTTTGAGAAAGAACAACTCTGCTGTGCTTTTCCAAATTTGAATCAGGTCCAGTATTGATCATCCAAGCAAACAGTATATGCAAAATAGCTTCTGACTTGTATGTTTATAATGTGCAAGACCTAATCACATTCTCTTCAAGAGTGTGATGGTTGTCTCGATCATAACTACCAGTAATCACCCTTATGTAAACTAAAGTGGGATTTTTTTTATTCACTACCTGATATCCAGTGCATTTTAGCCAGGCATTTCAGAAGAACTCTAGACAGGAGGCTATTAGCTTTAATAAAAATGAACAAGGGCCAAACTCAGTGTTCTGTTTCCTGAAACAGAGCATTAGTCTTAGTCCTACTCACTTCTTCAGCCTTCCCAGTTTTATTAAAGACTATGTTCTGCCTTTTCAGACAATGTCCTTAAAAGCTAACTTGACCCTGGCAATTTTTGCATTACACAGTCAAGCTGGACTCTTCCCAATAATGGGAACTGCAGATTTTCATAGTAAAGTTAAATATAAACATACAGCCCCAGAAAGCAGTAACATAGTTCTGATTAACAAATGAGTTTAAAATATCTAGTGATTCTGTAACAGCAGTTCTTCCTTCCAGTTCTGTAAGTGCAAGCAGAACTATTGTCTGTGGGGATAACAGAAGACTGGAGAAATCCTTTTGTCAAAGCGACTTAAGCAGCACAGTACAAGTGTAACACCAATTCTAAAATTACTTTCTATTAACACAATTTGCAAATAAAACATCACATCAGTTCACACTGTATTAAGCAGTGATTTTTTTTGTGCCTCACAGATCCTATCCTATTAGAAATGAATCTGCAAAAGAGATGAAGGTGAATGAATTAGTGAACTTAAGGCTAATACATATGAAGGAGTTTGCCCTTCCATTTTAGTATTTTTTGAAGTCAAATGCAAGTCACAAGTTGAAAAATCACTGATACAGAACACTGATTAGTCAGCAAATAATAGTACTCCACCTCAGCGTGCATACAAGATCTGACAACACCATGACCGAGACATTGATTATGATATAAAAAAAATGAAATGGGGGGGGGTGGGTGGTGTGGTGGTGTGTGTGTGTGACAGCAGCATTGCTGTAGTTTGAGAGCACATGTAATGTTCTTGCTATGATAACATACAACCCTCACAGGGCTAGTTAAGAAGCCCAACCTCCATCAGATCCCATGCCAAAACCATTGCTAGTACTGTGTCAGCTTTCTGAATGCTGTCTAAATCTAAGCTCTCAGGACTGATAGTTGCACAATTGCCTCTCTGAAATACCTCTGGAATGCTAAACTCAACTGCTGAAATGGACTTAAATATTTACATATGCTAGGAAAAGGTAATTTTCACTTGTTTCAATCAAATCTATTTTTTAAAAATAAAGCACAGACTAATTTTGCAGCCATACAACTTGCTTTCTTCTAACAATAACCTCTTTGTGAATTCACAGAAGGTGACTTGCCTCGACATTTCACTGGGGAGTTGTGAATGGATAGTTATGAAACTGTCCTCTATGCCTTAAGCTGGGAGTACCAAGAGAGGTAAGGCATGCTCACTGAATAACGTGGTTACTTTTTTAGCGGAGTCTAGAGAGCTCATACTTATATTTTAAAACATACATAATCTTGTTTGAAGAAACAGTATCTTAGAGGGGGCTACGAAGACATGTAATTGAGGAGTACAAACTATTTTATACAGTGTGCTTTTACTAAAGCTGAGCAGTACATATTTCATGAGACTACTATTTTTTAATAATTGACTTTAAAAAAATTTACAAAAGTTCTAACAATATAAACACCAACAGTTTCCACTCTGTTGGCCCAATTCTGCCGCCTCAAAGACTGAAAGTTCTAAACTTAACCATAAATAAACTCAAACTGCATTTGCTAAAGAAAATGGATACTATGCAGTAATGAAGCATTCTGGATCTCACAGTTGTTTGCTCATTTGCATGGAATGGGTTTCCAGTTACTCTGCTTGTCTGGCCTAGTTATGCATAGATTATGGCACTGAGAAAGATCGAAGCACTGTGAGCACTTTTGAAAATGTTACAGTTTTAGTGTTACTCAAAAGAAACTGAGTTAGGTCAAACTAAAACTATAGCTGGTAATTACTACTGGGCGGATACAAGCCAAGACAATTCAAAGGCTTGTCAGTGCATTAAGAAGCTATCAACACCATCCACTGTAAGGCAAGGTAATGTGCAAAGGAGATACTTTTTAATCATTCATGACTGCTCGTGTTAACAAATATGAATTATTCTAAATATTGAGGATGAGAGAGATATTTTTTTTTTACAAGGCCAAATATACCTTCAGACTTGAACTGATAAGTGACAAATAATAGGATGGATATGTGTAAGCTGAAAATGGTCAAATGTATTCATAAACAGTGAGGAATGTATATAGGAACACATCAGAAAATTTTTGTGAGACAAAGTTGAGTTACATAAAACATCCCAAATACACAGTTTTCAGAGGGATACATATCACTAAATATTTGTGTTATAGCAACAGTAATACTCTATTTAGAAACTAAGAAGCCTTAGTATATATTTTAGGACAACACCTATCACTGATCACATGGAGAATCTTGTTACTCTGTTCCCCACTCTTCCTGCCCCAATGCAACCAAATATTTGAGGCAAGTCAGGTTCTTAACAAAGAATACCTTTCTGGTATGCGCAATAGACCAAACCCTGCTCTACAGCGTTTCACTTAACGGGTATGGAATACAGCAATTTGCTGTACAGATTTTTGAATGCCTGCACAAATTTTGGATGGATTTTATAAAGGCAACACTCTTGACAAGCAGCTTACATACTTTGAGTAAGAAATGGGGGAAGAAAAAAAAAAAGTAAGACCTACCTACCACTTTTGGGAGGGGAAGAAATGTGGCTACCTTAAATCCACAACCTATTTTTGCTCACCTTGCCACCACATATCTTTAACAAATCTCAGAAGCAATTCACAGGAGGAGGGGCACATTTTTGCTCTACAAGTCATCCACTCCAGCTAGCTGTTCCTTATTTGACAATGTGATGTAATTTCCTCTTTTCCTTTGACTTTCTATTTAACATAAGTACCTGAGATAGTCACCCCTTTTAATATTTAAGTATTTCAGACTTATAATTGGACTTTAAAAAAACAAGATCTATTAGTATACTTTCCAGAACTCCATATACTCAAAGAAAAAAAAAAAAAAAATCCTGGTTCTCTAGTGATCATATCATCTCTTAAGTGCTTTTGTCTTTGCAACTGTATGAATGCCCAGTAACCCACACCTAGCAGACAAAGCCTTATGAGAAAATTAGTTTAAATCTATTAATTTAATAAATAATTTGATTTTATTTACTACGCACCAAACCTCCGCAGTGCAATTCAGTATTTCTCGGAGTTGCATGCTGAGGTACAGGCCTCTGATTTTTCCATTTATAGGAATGACATTATTTACAGTTATTACGTAAATGAGGCATATTCTTAGCTTTCTTTTCTACACATTCTGCCAACCAGAAATGGAACATTCTGTGGTAGAAAATTTAAGACTATGATCACTCAGTAAAGATGGATAAAAATGCTGCTCAAATAATAGGAGGTCGCAAATAAAATTAATTCTATAGGTATACCCCAGATGATTATGGGCATAAATCAACTGAATAGCAGACAATGTATTTAGATTAGAATAGTCAGATGTTGTGGAATATATTCAAAGAACTGCAGTTCATCAAGGAGTTTAAGTTCAGTTAAAATTTGGGCTACCATTTCACCGTCCTACACAGTGACTGGGAGGAACCTGTAAACTGCCAGTTGAAAACTAATAATTAAATAGCGAGACAATTGCCTTGCCTCTGCTTGTCAGATTTCAGATGCATGTTTAAGGCATGGTACTTCACCCTCCTGAAAATTTTAATGTGAATATAGCCAGCTTACATTCAGGAAATAAAAATTCCTTTATAGGTGACTCAGAGTCATAACCATAGTGTTAGACATGCTGTGATAAGTTTTAATTCTGTTTTCCACTACAGAGAAGTGGAATTGTTTTCTTCTGAAATAATTCCTGTATTGCAGAGGATGGCAGACAGAGGGTTTCACCAAGAACATATGCCCCTCTCAAAAGATAGGTTTCCATTTAAAAAAAAAAAAAAATAAAACGTTTTCCTATATAGGTAAATTGCTAAGGGAAGAAAACTGTTTGTGTATAAAGTAATATGGATGAATTGAGCAGCTTGTTTCCCTCTTTTAAAGTTTTACTAGCTTATAAATGCAATTCACAAATGCGTTTGTGATGCAGAGGCATTGTTCATCTGTCATTCCAGTATGACAAACCTTCAGGTACCCCCAAACTGACCAGAGACCTTGCCCCTACAACCTTTCCCATCCAGTTTATCAATATATAATTAAGTACTGTTATCTTTAGATCAAGCATAACAAGTTTTTTGCTTATTGCTTCAGCACTACATCACAGGGTCTTTGGTCAGTGTGCACTGGTCAGAGGAGACCACTGAAGTCTGAGTGTCATTCTGGACAGCTTGCTTTGCGTAACCAACACAGTGCATGTCCACACCAGGCACACATGCTTGACAGATGCGCTGTAAATACTCGAAGGGGACAGTGGTGTCTCCAGATTTAAACACTACAGACTGGCTATTTTAGAATATCGAGGATAAGCGTGTACTGGGGTATTAAGTCATGAAGAAATGTTTATTCTAAATTAAGCCATCCTAAATTAGAGTGTGAAGCACAGAGCCTGAGCCCACAATGCAGTCTCTGTTTATTCACAGAAGCAAGAGCAGCAGCTCGGAGACGAGTGCGAGGGAACACTGATCCTGTTTCGGGTCAGGAAGAAAACGCATGGCATGCCACGCTGATTTTCAAGAATGTGGCTACGGGCACCGCTGACACCGAGCGGGTCCCACCGAGAGGGACTTCTGCCGGCCGAGCGCTTCCGATCCCCGTGAAGGCGCGCTCCCCACCGCAACTCTCACCGCGGCAGGCTGAGCGGGCATCGCATCCGCGACATCTCCCCGCCAGACCCCGCAGGTAAGCGACGCAGCGGCGGGCCTGGGCCCCCGGTTCCCCCCGCCAGCACAAGGGCAGAAAACGCGCTCCCGCTCCTTCCCGGCGCGCCTCCCGGGCTGCGGCCCGCCGCCACCCCCCGCGCCCGCTGGCGTGGGCCGCGCCGCGCCGGGACCGCGGCTCCGCGCCAGGGGCCCGGCCATACGTGTTGCCGCAGCTCGGATGAGCCCGGGTGACCCGCAGGTGTTGCCGGCAGCCACCCCGCTCCGCGGGCTCCGGCCCCTGCTACTCTCCCCGCTGGCGGGGCCCGGGGCGCCGCCGGGCCGCGGTCGAGCCCTGCCGGGCGACTCAGGTGTGCGGCGGGCGGGAGCGGCCTCGGCAGGCCGCGGCACCGGGGGTGGGGGGGGGCGCCTTCGCCGCCATGGCAACGAGTGGCGCAGGGCGGCGGGAGGTGCCGCCGCAGGGACCATCACTCACCCTGACAGCGTCGCGCAGCTCCGCATGTCCCCGTGCGTCCGCCGACGCGACACGCATGCGCCGAGCCACGACAGTGCCCGGCCACTGCTGCGCCGCGCGCGGACGGCCGTTCTTATACCGGGGGGCGGGGCCTCCAAGGAGACCCGCCCCACCCGGCCGCGCCCCTCCGCACGTTGCGCTGTCGTCGGGAAAAGCCTTAAAGGGGCGATGGCCGCATGTGGGCTGGTAAAGGTGCTGTGGCGGTTTTCAGGCGGGCGCTGCTGGGAGGGTGCGGGCCTCGCCGTGCACGGGTGGGGGGCTGCGGCGGGCGCCTAGGCGCCGGCAGCGCTGTCCGCTCCTGCGGGCCCGTCTGCGCGAACGGCCGCCAGTGCACCCTCTGGGCAGCGCTGCCGGTGCGGCGCCGCCCCCGCGTCCCCCCCTCCCCCCGCCTCCGCGCAGGCCTGCGGGGCTGGCCGCCTCCGGGCTGAGCGAGAGGCGCGTTCGCCAAGCGAGCTGCGGCCGGGAAGTTGCCGCCCGTGGCTTGGCCCGGCGGCGTGAGCGAGGAACCGCGGCCAGCGCAGGGGTGGCGCGGCACCGCACCGCGGGAGATCGCGCTCGGTCACCTCAGAGCGGCGCGCGGAGCAGCGGGTGCCGCGGCGGCAGCGCCCGCCACGCAGAGGCTGTGAGGCGGTGCTGGTGACACCCGGCCGGCCCCGAGCTTTCCCTGCGGCGGCTGGCTTCACCGAGACACCCGGCTTGCTAGCGCTCGCCGTCCTTTCCTGCCCCGGTCATCTGCTTGCTCTCCCTGGTCAGGCACTCATATTTCCGCGGAGCTGCCCGCCCTCTCCCGCTTCAGCGTCCTTCCGTGTTTCACCGAGTCCCCGTTTCCCGGGGGATGGCGGCGGTTACTCGTTCTGCTGCCCCACGGTCTGTCTGATCCCTTTCCCGACCCTGCCGGGGTCGGCCACCCCGCCCATCTGCCGCGCAGGGCCCGCCGGCGGATCTCCCGCTCTGCTCGGGAGCCGCTTCGCCCCCACCCGCGCGAGGCTGGAGGAGCAGCCCCCGCCGCCACCAGGGGGCGCTCGCCCGCCCCGGGGCCGCTGGCGTCGCGGGCTGCCCGTCCGTTTCGGGTGAGCGAGGAGCGTGGCGGCCGCGGCTCCGCGCTCCTCTCCCTGCGTGCTGCAGCTTTGTCTGTGGGAGCAGCGGCTTCGCCCGAGCAGGGAGGTGGAGCTGCTAGTCCTTGCCCCACGCGTTTGGAGACGGAGTGTTTTGCAGTCACGGGCAACACTTGTCCTTCAGTATTGCCTGGAGGGATTGCTACTGTGAATGTAAATTTTCTTGAATTTTGTGTTGAAATAAATCCGTCTTCATGTGTAATGATCTGTTGGGCGTTTAATGTGGGTTATCATAGATTTGAGAGTGTATTTTGGGTTTAGACTTAGCATTTGTGATGGTAAAACACAGTGGTTAGAGCAGTAGGATTTCTCAGTGAAAGCAGCTGTGTAAAGACTGTTTTGTAAGCGTTTGTAGATGTTTATTACACTATAAACAATGTGACCCTGGTTTTTGATCAGTTTTGCTGTATAGGGCAATCGTTTATTTGTTGGACAAAGAAACGTCAATGTGGGACTTAAAACTCCCAGCACGGAGTTGCTAACAATAGGATTAACAAAATGTGTCCGCTGTACTCTTTGAGGTGGAATAGTTATTAACACTGCTAAGAAGGAAGAATGCTTGATTTCATTGCATGATGTGGTGCATGTCTGCAGTTGACTTCTGCTTTCTCTTTTGGGATTTCTGTTGACCTCTGGTGAAAGTCCCCCCTCTGCCCCTTGTTCTTCAGTACAGTAAGATCTCCTAGTGCATATTCGTATCTTAAGAATTGCTGTATTGCTGTACAGATGAAGGTGGTGGGAGAAGAAAGGGGAGGAATATAAACTAGGAGAGATTTTTGGTGGGTTTTTTTTATCTTTGATGTGAGAAATGATGAATAGGTCCTCTAAAGTTGGCTGAACGTGTTATGCAGATGAGAGAAAGTGAAAATAATATAAGGGGTGTGGAGGCCATCAAAAGAAAGGAGGAGAGCAGACAAGTGAAGTTTTGTGGTTTTGACAAATTAGGGTACACAGTGTTAACGGTGAGACTGCACTATGTTGTATTCTGGACACATGCTTAGAGGGGGTAGCAACTAATGATGATAGCTTACACTGCACTGTACACATTGAAAGACAAATGCCAAATGCTTTGCTGTACTTCTGTTGCCCTGGATGTGATGACTGCAGCTAATTGTTTCTGTGGATGAACTCGGTATGCAACATGAGTTATTTTAAGTTTAAATTGTCCTGATTGCACATATGCGTTGAGGAGAAAGTAGTTGTCTTTTTTTTAAAAAAAATTCTGGTATGTTTAAGTACATACTCACTGATAGTGCAGATAGCCCCAAATGTTATTATGAATGGATACACAGGACAAACTTGTTTTTACAATGCATTTCAGAGTGTTGACATAACTTCAGTACAACAAACTTATGCAGTGCCTCCATGGTGGAGCATGAGGAGTAGTAGGTCTTTGTCTTTTTAACTTGTTTGTGCCTGAGAATCTTTGGTCTGTGAAAAGGCCATTCTTGCTCTACCTGCAGATGTTACCCTGTGGCTTCTGTACTTCCATCAGCAGGCCCAGTTGTACTCTGTCAGGTAATTTAGGAGTTAGTTCATGTGCATGTAATGGCATGGAATTTTTGTCTTTCACTGTTAAATGACTTTACCTGTGGCCTTGGTTCACTAAAACCCCACTGCCTTAAATTTCTGATTGTTCTACTGAATAAAAATGTTGAGTAAAGTTGTCACTTGTAATAGTTTCTGTGTTGACTTGTGCACAGAGGAAATTGAATTCTGTACCAATAGTTAGATTCTTGTTTCTCTCCCTTCTTTGCAATATGAAGTTATTTTAAGTCTCAAAACCACCTCACAGTTCTGTAGGCATGTATAAACCACTCTTTGAAATTTGCTCATTGCCCTGAAGACTAACTCATAAGTAATTTTGGACATCCTGGTTGGTTAATACTAGTTAATAACAAGTCTGCTAAAAACCAGCTCTTTTGTACACTGTTTTGGAGATGGATAGCAGACTTGTCTGTATTTAATAAATGTCTGAATTCTGTGAAAAAAATAATATCATGGACTTTGATTCAATTATACCATTTGCAGAGGGAATCCTTGTGATACTGGATGTCCTTCAATGAGAGTCATCCTATTTGTAGCTTGCTTTGCAGCGTATACCTTTTCAATGACCTTAGTTCCCTTGATGTTTCCCATTTTTAACACTTAAAATTTTCAGTTGCTATTTCTGTTTGTTTTGAGAGGAGAAACATAAACGTAAGCAGCAGCTGGAGAAACGAAAGGCAAAATCTCTTTAGGAAGCTAAAAAATTATGAAAGTAAAATTTCGTATTGAAGGACTAACATGGGAAGTAATAGATACATATTTTTCATATAGAATGTCAGATGTAGCCCTTATATGGTCATTCTGTAGATTGTCATGATTTTTCTGGTGAGCCAACTTTTATAAATAATAACTTTGTTTTACAGTAACTGGTGCTGTATTATTGCTTAATCCTAATTATTTGTGGCAGCTGCTCTTGAGCAGGAAGCTTGGGGGTTTTTTTCCATGTTTTCTGGTAAGCGTGCCTCCGGTCTGGTTACCTGAAAGGGAATTAGTAGTTTAGACGCTTTTTTCTGCCTTGTTAATGACTAGAAAAGGTAATTGTGGTAAGTCATCAGAGAGGAAAAGCTTTTCTGAAGAGAGGTAAACAAAGTGTAAGTTGGTTGGAGTGGTGCTAATTTTTGCATGACTCATTATGTGAATGAGGGTGGTGTAGATACACTTCTACATCACCTCTAGAGTTGCTTCTGCAGAGCCAAGACCATCTGTCACTTTAGTTATGTCAGATGTAGCCTTTATGAGCCCTTTAGTAAGGGATTGCTTGAGAAAAGCAAACCTAGCAAAAAAACAATGCAGAAGGTGATCTATGAATAAATCTTTCGATCACGAGAGGTCCTGAATTCTGTCATTATTCTATAGATTAAAATTCAACACATTGTCCTTGGCTTGGATACTGACTTCCAAAATGAATGAGTTGGCATGTCACACTTATCTCTTTCTTAAAAATCACAGCCTTTATCTCAAGCAGAATCAAGATGCGCACAGCAGAAGTTAAACTGTGTGCGATTGCTACGTAGTTTCATTTTATAGGTCTTACTCAGGTCCTTATCTTCTGTTCTGTTTTGTGGTAGTCTGACAGAGTGGATCTGCATATGAATATTGAGGTTAAGGACTCTGTGTGGTACTCTCTTACGTTAGAGGTGCATGCATTATAAAAATGTAAACAAAGTACGCAGATAATAAAATTCTTAGTTACCTAAGTTTTTAACATCTATCACCCTGAAGTGAGGGAAATCAACTTGAGCATCTGTTAATTCCAGGGGAAAAAACAATACATATATGATGCATTGGAATTGCTGTGTCTCACTGAACTGATAGAAAGTTGGAGACTGTGGTGCAGTGGTGGTAAACTCGTGCTGGTACATGAGGGGGGAAATCATATTGCCAAAATTACAAGCCATTAAACTTTATACTTCTTACTTTATGCTTACTGTATGGGGTACGTTGTATGGTGTATTGTGGTACTACTTACTTTGGGAAAGAGAAAGATGTGTAGGTGTGCAAGGAAGGGGCAGAGACAATGAGTTTGAGTGAAAGGCGTACCCCTAGATGAGCAGTGCAGACTCTTGCACTGCAAGGGTAGCAACATAGTACTGTGCAGACCTGATACTGAAATTCAGACTTGTACAGGGGCCATTACTCAGACGTTGTACGAATTCACCCTATACAAGACTTTAAAGCAATTGGATAATGCTAAGCCTCTTAAGTCATCTGTAGAAACTGACAGATAGCAAATCTTTTATGCTTCAGGCATATGGAAGTGGTTTGTGATGCAAACATACTATCTAAAGTAGAAGTACAGCATGGCTTTTGTGAGCTCTCATCTGTGTACCTTGATTACATCTCTGTCTGAATGCTGCAAATGCCTGAAGTTTTACATGGCTTCAAAAACTAGACACAGAGAACCAGATGAAAGAAAAATCCATTAAGACTGTAGAGAAAGTGTCTTGTATCAGACTGTTGGGAATTGGGAGAGGATGTTGCCTACTGCCCTAAACATATCTTGTTTCCTTTTTTCCCCATGCTATGTCAATATTGGTTTAGGTGGACCTTGGGATTTGAGGCAGTACCGCTGCTGTTAGGATATATCTGTATTTTGCTCTCCCTTTAATATTTCAATTGGATGCTTCCATTGTTTTCTGCTACATAACTGGGTACACAATAATTTAATTCTGCTTACAAGATTCAGCTCAGGGCCTTGTCTCTGCAGATGTGTCCTGAATCCTCCCAGGAAAGGACTACATTCTTCTTTGAGTTTGGAGAGGGCAAAGAAGGGAACAGTATGAGGAGAGTGCTACAAAACTTTTTCAGTGTAAGGATTCACCGTTGCTGTGAATGAGGAACATGCACTTACTTCACTGGTCAGATTTGTGTGAATGCAGTTATACCAGGCAGGTATAGGGCAGAATGAGTGTGTTGTATTTCCAGTTTAGCCAGAAGACCCACAGAAGGGAGGAAACTCATGGGTCAGTAAAGGAGGGCTAAATTAGAGGTTAGCATATTCAAGTGTCTAGACAGCAAATACAGACATACTGCAAAAGTCAGTCTGTCAGGGAGTGGAGAGTCTAGATTAAAAAGCCATTTCAAAGGCATGTTGCCTGGATGGGGTAATCATGTGCTCAGACTTTTTCAGTACATACGCATAAGCAGAGTGAGGGAAGAGATCAAAAAAGTACAGAAAGATTGACACAGGTTCTGTAGCAGCTTAAACTGGAATGGAACTTGATAAATTAAAAATAGCTGGTTGTTCACACTTGTGTTTCCCAGAAATGTCCACAGTCACATCTGTTTTTTACCATCCATTTTGTAATAATTGAATGCCTTGCAGAAATGTTACATCCATCCTGCTGCATTGTTATACAATCCTCCCAGGCTCAGTTCATTGTTGCTCTCAGGTGCATAAACTGGTCATCAGGATGCCAAGCTCTAGTCTGGTGAGAGGTGAAATACCCAGAGCTCACATAATCTGTTAGAGTGCATACTTTCAGGGCAGTGTTGAGAGAGGTTCCACTGAAGGACGCTGGGCAGATCAACAGAAACAGAGTTGCTGACTCAAATCCCAGTCTAACTGCCCTGTTGCATCCCATCTCCTTCCTTACAGAGCCGGAGGCCTTGCTGTCAGCTGACTGGCTCAGCTGTGTTTTTAT